GCAAATTTTATTCGCTGGTACAGAATGGAGGTTGGTTGTTTTGAAAACGTTCTTCTTCTGAGCGATGTAGATTCTTCTTACTGGCACAGACTTTTCTGCGAACGACGCAAATTCTAAGCAACCTGCTCATACTTGACTTTGTTGATGTTGCTAGCCAAACAACAAGCTAGGAAGACGCCTATGAACGGGAAGAATGCTACGCCGACTGCTACTCCAGCAACCAAGCCAATGTTACCATTTATGAAGCGTAACACGCGAGTGTAGCAACCCTGGAAATTTTCATTTCAATCGTTATAATTTTTTCCTCTGGATAATCATCTTGGAGTCATAAGAAACTGAATGTCTTCAATCCTTCCGCTCACAGAAATTCAAAGCGTTATTTTCTTTTTTAAATACTGTGTTATTAATTTTCTCGTGTACAATTTTCTGGGAAATACAAATAAATCTCATTTTCAAGTATAATTAATGATAGCTCCAATATTTGGAAATATTAATACTATATAAAATATTTATGTATACGGTATATTAATACTATATAAAATTTTTACTTTAGTAATATTAATATTATATAAAATTTTTACTTTAGTAATATTAATACTATATAAAATATTTATGTATACTATTATAAAATATTTATGTATACGGTATGTGTACAATTTTCTGGGAAATACGAATAAATCTCATTTTCAAGTATAATTAATAATAGCTCCAATATTTGGAAATATTGATACTATAAATAAAATATTTATATTTAGTCGTATTAAATTATTTCCTTTGAAATTTTGAACTATTGAACCTTTGAGTGGAAGTGTATGTAAGTATGTTTCATTGAATATTATTAGATCTTAGTGATAATAATATATGATATATAGGATGAGTTATAAGAAATAAAATATTTTATCTAAATATTTTTGTTATTTTGTATCAAAAAGTTTTTCCAGATAAGAAAATTCCTGGATGTTCTTTAAAAAAAAAAATTATACGTAATGTTGAACAAATTTTTTTTACGAGATTCCAAAATTACAATTCTACTTATTTTAGTTTTTGCTACTTTATAGTATCTACTTTATAGCTGATATTAAAACTTTAACAGCTAGGTATATTTTGATTTTAAAATGATTCAAGAATGGTGATTTGATTACGAGCTGAGGCTTCGAGCAGTGAACAAGGGTTATTTTATGAAATATGTGTTAACAGCTATAAAAACTTGATGTAAAATTACAAAGGACAAAGTTGTAGAAAGACCACTCTCTCATAAACTTATATGAGACTTATATTTTTAATCAGTTTGTTATGACGTAAAAATGACGAAAAAAGAAAATGGAAAATCTCGATTAGATAATCTTGAATAATCTTGAAAAAAGTGATGTAATTTACTGACTAGCTATTTTTTTCGATACTAGGATTTTTTCTAATAACATTTATTTTTTGTAACATATAAAGTGAAAAAAAGCAATTATAAATTTTAAACGAGAAATAATAAAATTCCAATTTTTGGATTTAATCCAATGCTGACACAGATGTACAATTATAAATATATATAAGCAAAATTTACTATAATAGTGTCTACAGATTTTTGCTAATCGAAAGTTGTTTATTCCCGCGAAAACTGATCGCAATTTTTAACTTTAGTGACACAAAATATTGCAAAAATGACACATCTACGATACTATAATATACTATTTCGATGGTTTTATTTTTTTATTTTATTTTTTTCGAAGTCATTCCTATCTTTAATTTATTTTTTTCGTTTGTTTGTACATTGTAACAAAATGATTTAAAGAAGTTTTGTCGATATCCATGACAGACTGACTTCGCAATAAACGAAGTTCAATTCTTTTCTTATTCAATCTTATGTAATTATTTAATGTTAATTTTAATTTTAATTATAATTTATATTAATCTTATATTGCTTGTCTGTTTAACTTACCTGAGTATATATGTCGTTTATATCATTAACGTTACAATTTTTCTCTAGCAAGCTTGCTTTGCAACAGGATGATGGTATTTCCATTGCTGGAGATATGTTCAACCAATCGGTGTAACCTCTGTTTCCGCAACATTGCAACTATAAAACAAACCTTGCTGTTTATATGGGGAAAGTTAAAGTTAGAAGCGTGGAGGATTGATAAACCAAGAAAAAAAAGTGCTAGTATTCGAATAACAGTTATTTTGTAGAATTTGTTTGAATGAAGGAATGATAAAATAGATTAGTATTTCGTTTCAGTATCAGAAATGTTAATTAACTATTAATATTACATTATGATTTCTACATATTTTTTACGTTCACGTGCAAACACATGC